TGAAGCGGGTATTAATGGTTTCTCCGTTAGAGCACTTTTCATGCCCATCTCAGCCAGCAAATCTAAGCTCTGGATTACCATCGTCCCGATAAGTTTAACAAACCTTTTAACCCCCCACCCGCTGGCTACTATTCCTGCGTTTCCTAGTTTAAAACTTATTGTGATATCCCCCTTGACCTCCCCTTGAAATTGATTGGGGCTGTCCAATCTCCCCTGTCGTAGTCCTCGGAGTCCCCCTAGAGGAAGCTCCCAATGTTCCCCTTTCGTCCGTTGTTTTAGCTGCTCTCTCTGCAATGCTATGGAAGACTCTCCGGCAAAAAATTGTCATCAAATACAACAAACTCCTCAAAAGAATGCAAGAGCTTCTTGACCATGGAGTTTCAAAACTCAAAGACCTTCCCTTAGAGTTCATCTGGGCTTTACCTTCCGTACCTTCAACCTCTCAACTCTCTTCAGGTAGAAGCTCTTCCCCCCCCCTGCTTTATTTTATTTTCCTCTCCTCTTATTGACTTTTATCTTTTCTTACTGGTTAAAAACTCGCTTCTAACTTTGTACCCTTAAAAGCGTAATTTTTAATAGCTATATTTCTTACCTGCATGTGCAATAAGAACTCTTAAAGCTCACTTTAATAGCTTTAGTTTTTCTTATACATGATAACTATTTACCTTACTCCTTGCACTTTCTTGTACTAAAATGCGTTTAATTAATTTCATTGCAAAAGACCATTTCAATAGTTATATTATCTCTCACCCCCCCCCCCTTCTTGACTTTATCAACTTTCCCTATCCTATTTATTTCTTTACTTTACATATTAAATGCGTCCCTTTAAAGATTGATTTAATAGCTTGTTTATCTTGCTAACATGTTGATTAAATTACCCCCAAAAGCTCGATTTAATAGCTTTAGTTTTCTTCTGTGCATGTTAAATATGTAACTTATTCCAGACTATTTAGTTTCTTACTAAAACGTGCTTCACTTTGCTTGATTAAAAAGCTTGATTTAATAGCTTATTCATCTTGTGGTTGCATGTTTAATGTGTACCCTTAAAAGCTCGATTTAAAAGCTTTATTCACTTTGCTATTGCATGTTAAATGTGTTCACTTAAAAGCTCGATTTAAGAGCTTATTCATCTAGTTGTTAAATGCAAAATGTGTACCCTTAAAAGCTCGATTTAATAGCTTTGTTTATCTTGTTTAGTTACTGAATAAGTACCATCAAAAATTTTCAATAGTTTCTTTGCAAAAGCTAGATTTAATAGCTTTATTTATCTTGTTTAATACTGAATAAGTACAATCAAATCTTCAATAATTTTTATTGCAAAAGCTCAATTTAATAGCTTTGTTTATCTTGTTTAATAGTGAATAAGTACCATCAAAAATGATCTTGGCTGAACTGTAGAGCAGATTGAACTGGTTGTAAGGGAAAGCAGACACAAGCACCGTAACCCTGCAGGCTGCTGTCAAAGAAGATGTAGAGCTAATGAGGATAGCTAAATATTATTTGCCTTGAAAAATAAATACCCTTGGTCAGGAGAATTTCATTGACTACGTTACGGAATTTTGCAGTTCGTTCTTCAGACAGGATGAAGTTGAAGGAACAGGATGGATCGTGGCATAATTCACTAAATAGTGATCGTACAGAGAACATCAGTGGAGCTGCAAGACTGGTTGGATCGACTGGTTGGATCATAGAATTGAGGACATTTTTCTTGATGATAGGTGCAGAATGGTCTTGGAGAAATTTGGAATTGAGGTTGTCCCCTGCAGGTATTCCACAAGTTTTTATGTAGGCTGAGACGGAATTTTAAGAGATAACAATTTTGGGGGCAATCCCGAGTCATTCCCAGATATTTGCTTGAGCCATTTTCTCCAGAATGCTCCCAGGATTTGATTTGAAACCCTCCCTTGTTGAGGATGGATTCAATTTCTTGTTGTGTCTCAGAGAGCTCCATGATGGATTTAGCTCTGAATCCTCCGTCATTGATGTAAGTGTCATCCAGTACTGTCTGAAGGATGATTGGTTGGAGCAGGGAGGGGGAGTCCTTGATGAAGGTTTGAACTGTAGCAACCTTTAAAGTATTCCAGGTTGGATTTCATGGAATTTGTGTACAGGTGTGTGAAAAATTTCAGTTCATGCACATTATTGGTTTGAATTGCATTTTGAAATGCCAAGCATGATGGGGTGATTGTCAGGGGGTTGAGAGAGGAGGCTGGTGGGAGGGTTCAAGGATGCATTGCTGCTGTGGGTGACAGAGTGAACACCCCTATTGATGGCAGGGGGAATTTCTAGTACACATTTTCTGGTGCTCCTGATGAAGAGTGGTGTTGATGGCTCCAAGGGTGTTACCCTGGTGGAATGATTGAGAGTCCATTGGGCAGTATGTCTTCTCTTAGTTTGAAATGTTGACATATGTTCAGAACTTGATTAGCCCTTGTTAAAGTTTAACATGTTATTGAAATACGGGTATATATAAAAAAATGACAGGCGATTGAACTTAATAAAATATAAATAATGAAATAGCACAGTTCTAAAGTTGTTGGGTGAGCGGGATATATTTTTATAAACTGATAAATTAATAAACTATTGTGATGTTATTCAGAATATTGTTTTGTTAATAAGATCATATTTTCCATCTTCAAGAGAATTAACATACTGTAGAGTCTTAAACACACAAAAAGAGGAGTGATTAGTTGATGACTAAAGTCTTCTGAAAATAATTGCTGGGTTAAAAAAAGGATATTTTAGAATTTTAACTTGTATCACTTCAATGTTGGATTTTAGTTTTGGTTTGCGAATCGACTGGCGGAGAAGGTTTGGTTTGGTGTGTGTGTTAAGACTCTGGCCAGAGACAATCCTTGGTAAAGGCTACTTTCAAAAGGATCTGGGTAGTTGAATGATTTTTGTTCAACAGATATATACTATACTGTACAAAAGTTAAAGTAGTTTGTCCAGAAAAAATAATGGTCCCAGAACTAGGAGATTACTGTACCCATATATATTTTACTTGTGTATGTTATTTACTATAACATACACAAGTATTAGAACCTAGGAGATATACGCTCACAATACTTTTACATTAAATCTGTACTCCTATGTTATCAAACAACATATGCGCATGAAATAAATATAGATGATACAACTTGTTTATATAGGAGCAACCAAGCATCTAGAGATAGGAAGCTCAAGCATGTTTCTATGAGAAGAAAGAAGGCTTCCCCAGTGACTCTTTTTCTTTGATAAATTTACGGGACTAAATATATAACCATTCTTCTTAGAATTTTGTCAGATTTTTTATTAATGACTGGGGTTAAACCAACTTTTTAATTGATTTTAAATTGTTTCCGTCTTATGCTATAAATTCCAACAATGCTAAAAGATGTTGTCCTTAACTCAATTCAAATAATTATCAAATAGTAAACATAGTTTCATGAAAACTTTGTAAAGATATGTTCATCCTTAATTTCTTAAATCTTATAAAGATTTAATACAGACTGTATCTGAGCTATGTCATATTACATGAAAAGTGACGACCCACGGTATTTCTAAAAATGTCATCATTATCATAACTTAAAAATTTTTTCAAGGGTGTCTTTTATTTGTATATAAATAAAGACATGGTCAATTTTATAATTGTAAGTTAATTTTCTATGTTTATCAAAACCTGGGTACTAATTAGTACACCACCTTAAATTCACAAACATAAATTCAGTACATAAACTAATGTGATATGTACAATATATATTTTGTAAAAATGCTATTTTTTAAAACCCTACAAAAAATAAAAATATTTACCATTAAAAAGATTTTTCTATGGGAGTTGGAGACCAATTAAATTGTGACGTATTACTTCTTAACTTTGATAATGATGTAACTAAAGAAACCATGTTAACATCCCAATAGCACAAAAATGAAAATGACAGATTGTACCCTGAACTTTGAATGTGGACTGAGAGTGCAATTGAAAGTAGTAAGGTTGGTAACGGAAAGTGGTCCTGGTCATGCAACCTTAAATGATATATCTAAATATTGCACTCTTAAATGAAAATTAAAAGTTAAGTATCATTCTATTTTGACTTCTCTGTCATGTTGTCTAAGTATGTATTTGCTGTTGGGGCATTTCATAGAATGACATTGAAAAAAACGGAAATTTCATAGATAGGCCATTTCATAGAAAAAGAAATTCGTAGATATGACATTTCATAGACATCTCATAAACAGAGCAGATTTTTCATAAACAGATAATTTTCATATAAGGAAATTTCATGGACAGAAAAGCATTTTTTTCAGAACCAATTTAAGGTTTTGGGTAGATAAAAATGTGTCACAGCTTTGAAAATTGTCATGGATTTTTTTTTAATTTTTATAACAACTTTTAATCAATTTTTATGAAATTAAAGGATTTTTAGTATCTTTCATTTTTAAAAACATTTTCCTGTATTATGGCGCCCCTCTCAAATTTTCAATTTCAGCATAATGTTAGAGACATTAAAAGCAATGTTAAAACAATGAAAAGTATTAAATTTCAAAAGTAAATGTGTAGTAAAAAATATATTTACAAATTTTCAAACAAAAATAATTTTATAACATAATTTTAATATTTTTTAAAAATTTAATTACATTCCTTAAATGCTTTGTTTTAATATTGCTTTTATGACTAACATTTTTTGTGTTTAAAAGCTAAGAAACACAAGGAGACTTTGAATGGCAAGCCTAGCAACTTTGTTGATGAGACAAGAAATTCAAAGTATAGAAAAAAATCATTTAAAGGCTTTTTTGTTTCCTTTTTGAGCCAAGGAACAGTTAAAAAATAACTTAACGCCTGCTGTTGGGGGTAAAGTCGTTGAAAAAGCAGTGAATTTAATATGTATTTATGATTTTGACTTATTATCATTTATTACACCCTTTGACAATAAGTACCTTATTATTTAATTAATTAAATCTGCAAACATCTAGGAGTCATGTTTCATACAGGAAAAAGTAAGTCAACTATTTAACTAATAAAACTACATTATTGACTATAAATTATTTTACAATGTTAGTGGTGCCCAGGACTTGGAAACGATATATTCATATTCAGTCTTTAAACACCAAGATTAAACATTTCCACCCAAGGTTTGTGGGTGAATTATTTCCATATGTACTTTAGCTGTGTAAGGGATATTGAACATATTATTGTTTAATTGTTAGAAAAAACTTTTTATGTGATCTTTTTCTTTTCACTATCTTTACATTGAATTTGTTTAGTTAAAGTAGAATTGCTCAAGACAATAAAATGAAGCTAATGCTAGTGCTGATGGTGATGATACTTCATTATATACACACTTCTTATCCATTAGGATATGGAGCAAGGCCTTCTCATCCATTAGGATATGGAAAAAGTGCTGCAGAAAGAGTAAACAAGGTTCTTTCAAGTCACCCAATAATAGATGGACATAATGATTTCCCCATGGGAGTTAGAGACCTCCTGAACAGTGATATGAGTCTTCTTAATTTTGATCGTGACTTAACAAAAGAAGAACCCTGGGCATCATATTCATATAATCATGTTGACATCCCTAGAATGAGAAAAGGGAAAATGGGAGGTCAGTTCTGGTCTGCATATATTAACTGCAACAGCCAGTACAAGGATGCAACTCAAAAGTTTATTGAACAAATAGATCTTATTCGCCAAATTGTTAATAAGTACCCAAAAGATCTAATGTGGGCAGATAATGCAGCTGATATAGAACTAGCAATTTCGAAGGGTAAGATTGCAAGCATGGTTGGCGTGGAAAGTGGTCATGCCATTAGTAGCAGCATGGCAGTTTTGAGAACACTTTATTTAATGGGGGCCCGATATATGACCTTGACTCATGGCTGTAACACACCCTGGGCAGATGCTGCACAAGTAGAGGATGGTTCTCTTACCTCTAGAGTCAATGGACTAAGTGACTTTGGAGTTAAAATAGTTCAAGAGATGAACAGACTTGGCATGATAGTAGACCTTTCTCATGTATCTTCTGATGCTATGAGGAAAGCAATTAAGGCATCTTCTGCTCCAATAATGTTCTCTCATTCCAGTGCAAGAGCTGTTGTAGCAAAACCCAGAAATGTTCCTGATGATGTCTTAAGGATGGTTAAAGAAAACAGAGGTATAGTAATGGTGAATTTTTACTCTTGCTTCTTGGTTCAAGAATGTAAAACTCAAAATGCATCAGTTCTAGATGTGGTGAAGCATATTAATCATATAAGAAGAATTGCTGGTGTTGACTATATAGGGATTGGTGCAGATTACAATGGAGTTGATGTCACCCCAACTGATCTTCCTGATGTATCTTCTTATCCAAATCTTTTTATTGCTCTTATTAAAGACACTGAGTTTAAGTGGACAGATAAAGATCTTGGAAAGTTGGCCAATGGTAACCTAATTCGTGTATTTAAGGAAGTTGAAAGTGTTCGTGACAAATTAGCAAAAGAAGGAAAGAAGCCTGATAACACATGGATTCCTGAAAAAGATATTGGAATGGAAGGAAATGAAACTGAATGTATTTCAAAGAATTTCTTATACTAACATTTATTCTTATTTAAGAACAGAAAGATGAATAAATTAAACATTTGTTGTTTCCATCACTTTTCTAAAAAGATGGAAACATGAAATTATTTTCTGACGGGTTTATCAACTGTGGTCATTTTAGATGATTTCACAATTTATAAGACTAGCTGGTATACCTGAGGTTTCCCAGGATGATGCTATTATTATATATGAACATGGCACAGTTTTACAAATGTATATGAGAAAAGAGTTTTATTATATATATGGATGATAGAAACATATGTGAACAAGTTCACACAGTCCATATTTGCGCAGAGTACGACGGTAACCCCTTTTAATGCTGAGGTTGTAAGATTAGGGACTTTCATCTCACATTTAGAATCCCTCAAGAATACATGTGTATTCTGTCATCCTGAGGACTGGGTCTCTAGAGGGATGATGATTAGGCCGGACTGTGAACACTTGACCAGGAAAGGTATGGGTCTGGTCTGCCGGGCTGTGAAAATGTGTGTGCCCTTGTACAGAGCTGTACCCGCCATGTCAAAACCCACCCTGGTCATCCCTATTCCAAACGGGGCCAATTTCAGCATCTGGGTGGAACATTTTTGGGAGGTATGCAGTTTTAAATCTTTGAAGCCGTCTAGGTCCCGGTGTGATGCCTGGAGAGAACTCGTACCTGCAGCAAACTCTGGTTATGCTACGCGGCAAAGCGCAAGATTCTTTAAACATAAACAAACACTTGAATTTATGGAACGGATTTGTTTTAGTTCTAATGTCGGGATTTTTGACCCCCACCCCCCTGCCCTATTATGCTTGCACATGCAATTTCAACTTTTCTATTTTAATAAATTTATATTTATTTTTTATTATTTCAGGGTTAGACTACAAGGTTTCTCCGAAAAAAGTGTGTTTAAGCTTTTTGTCTACTAAAATTCATTGTTTTGAAGTAAAAAGTACTTCTAGAGGTACAAAACCCATAGATGGAGGGGGGTCGAAAATGTAACATTTCTCTGTAAAATGCCGTGNGTTCATTTGAACTATTTTTATGTTCATTCTGTGTAATGTTTATCTAATTAATTGTCATGAATATAACTTTATGAAGATTATAAAAAAAATTTTAAAACTGAATTGGGGTAGAAAAATAGTTCAAATGAGCAAGAAATGCGTTGATTTAAACTACAGGATAAGACGTCATGTCAGTAGTTCAAATGAACAATAGTTCACACGAACAATAGTTCAAACGTACCATAGTTCAAACGGCAGTAGTTCAAATGAGAATCCACCAATTATTCTTGTTTGTTTACATTTCAAGAAACTTGCGCTTTGCCGCGTGCATAACCAGAGTTCGCTGCAGGTACGAGTTCTCTGCAGGCATGATACCGGAAAAGAAACTCATTTGGTCATTGGTATCAGAGACCAGCAAAACGTTAAATAACTCTGAACACGTCCGTCACCATTTAAGCTTAATTCTTCCTATTCCTCCCCCTGCCTCACCTCCCTATTCCAGTCACTTTCTTGAGTTAAGCTCTGAACCTCTGAGTTTTGTGTCCTTCATACCCACCTCCTCCCCCTCTACTCCGTCCTCTCCTCTTCCTACTCCTATCCAAACCTCCAAAATATTTCCAATATTATCATTTTTTCCAAAACTCCCAAATATTCCCAATATCGACATTTTTTACCCAAAAAGTATTCTCCAGAAAACAATAATATTTCCACTCTCATTGTATGTTTTGATGCAACTTCCTATCCAATTTTCAAGATTCTTTTTTTTTCCAAAATATCCAAATTTCCAAAATATTTCCAATATTAGCATTTTTACTCCAATAGTTTTCTCTAAAAATCCACTAGCATTGTTTGTTTTAAGGCGACCTCCTCTCAAATTTTCAAAATATTTTCAAATCATAAACAGTTCTACTCCAATAATTATGGCACTAACAGGCCAGGACAACTCTTTCAGGAAGTGGAGTAAAAAGCTTGAAGATGACAGGTTAAAAAAAAGATTATGTTTATTGGGACACCCTGAATATTTCACGAATTTTATAAAATTACACAATATATAAAACTTCTGTTTAACCACAAAACTATTTTTATTTCCTTCGTTTAATTCTTTCTTAAAAAGTTAGGAAATAACAGGTTGGAAAAAAATGTTAATTGGGACACCCTGAATGCTTCTCAAATTTTATAAAATTATCCAATATATAAAACTTTTTTTGCCTACTATACTATTTTTCTTTCTTTTGTTTAGTTCTTTCTTAACACAAGACCCGGATTTCTGTTCTTTTCTGAATAGATGGAAATTATGAAAATATTCTCTGTCGGGTTTATCAATTGTGAATTTGTGGTCATTTTAGATGATTTCACAATTTTTTAAGACAGACTGGTGGACCTCACTTTGCCCAGGAGTCATAGTTTACCCATGCTTGGTATTAAATTAAGATTTTATGATTATTAAAAGGAAATTGTACTTTTGGATATGAAATGGCACAGTTTTACAAATGTATATGAGAAAAAAGCTTGATTATGTAGATGGATGATAGAAACGTATGTGAACAAGTTCACACAGTCCATATTTACTTATTCAAATTTACAGAACTAACATATGCTATTGATAGTTTCTCAGATCTCAAATATTTCATCATTTACTTATTTCATGATCAAAAACTAAATACTAAACTCAGTTGTATCAAAGTATTAGGAAGAAGAAATTTATATCATTTTTGTTTTTCGTTTCTGCATTTTTATTACAAAATTTTATCTTCCCTAATAACCTCAAGAGATAAGAAAAATTAATATATGGTCAATTCAAATCAAACATTGAACAGTTGAAGCTTGAAACATTAAAATGAAGTTAACTGCCATTGTGGAAGTGATCCTACTTCTTGCGAGTACTTCTCATGGTGGTCCATGTCCTGAAAACATCATGGCCAGAGTAAACAAAGTCCTTAAAGACTATCCTATCATTGATGGACATAATGATTTCCCTATGGGCGTCAGAGACTTATTAAACAATGATGTGTCACTTCTTAACTTTGATCATGACCTAACTAAAGAAGAACCTTGGGCTTCATATTACTTCAACCATGTTGACATCCCTAGAATGAGAAAAGGGAAAATGGGAGGTCAGTTCTGGTCTGCATATATTAGCTGCAGCAGTCAGTACAAGGATGCAACACAAAAGTTCCTTGAACAGATAGATGTTATTCATCAGATTGTTGATAAATATCCAGAAGATCTAATGTGGGCAGATAGTGCAGCTGATATAGAACTAGCATTTTCAAAGGGTAAAGTGGCAAGTCTGGTAGGTGTGGAAAGTGGTCATGCAATTGGTAGCAGCATGTCCATTCTCAGAACACTGTATTCAATGGGGGCTAGATATATGACCTTGACTCATGGCTGTAACACACCCTGGGCAGATGCTGCACAAGTAGAGGATGGTTCTTTTCCCTCTAGAGTCAATGGACTAAGTGATTTTGGAGTTAAAATAGTTCAAGAAATGAACAGACTTGGCATGCTAGTAGATCTCTCTCATGTGTCTTCTGATGCTATGCGACAAGCAATTCAAGCATCTTTTGCACCTGTTATATTCTCACATTCAAGTGCCAGAGCAGTTGCAGCACATTCTAGAAACGTTCCTGATGATGTCTTAGAAATGGTAAAGGAAAATGGTGGAATAGTTATGGTGAACTTCTACACCTGCTTCTTAGTTGAAAGCTGCAGAACCCAAAATGCAACAGTTCTGGATGTTGTGAAGCACATAAATCACATTAGAAAAATTGCTGGAGTTGACCATGTTGGAATTGGTGGTGATTACAATGGAATAGATGTTACCCCAGTTGACCTTCCCGATGTATCCTACTATCCCAATGTTTTTGCTGCACTCATTGAAGACACTGAATTTGAGTGGACAGATGAAGACCTGGGAAAGTTGGCTAGTGGGAATCTGATCCGTGTCTTGAAGGAAGTTGAAGAAGTTCGGGACTTATTAGCCATAGAGGGTCAGAAACCTGATAATACCTGGATATCCTCAGCAGATCTTGGAGATGACACAGCTTGCAATTCAAAATAATTGCTTTCATAGATTTGTCAATGCTAAATAAATAAACCTAAGCTTCATGTAGAAATACTAATATTTGATATAGTTTACCTTAACTTCCCTGAAAAGAAGTTGTAAACAGTTAATAATCGTGTTTTTCAGTCCATTAAAAACTAAATTTTTCTCCAATAAAAACATTTTTACTTTTTATTTCATCAATCTTCAAAGATTAATAATCTATAGACTGGGATTTGAGGAATGATTAATAAATTCAATCCAAAAATAAGAGAGTACAGAGATCTATTAAAGGCTAGAATGTGACATTTTCTGCAGGAATAGTTCAGGCCTCAGGGTCCTTCAAACAAATTTTAAAACCTTTAATAAGTAGACAAAAGAAAGAAAATGGAAGATTACAATCATATTTAGAAACTGCAAACAGTGTTGATTCTTTCTTTTAAATTTGTAAAACTTAACACCTGAATGGGTATGCATGCCGTGTCGGCACAAGTATAACCCATCTAGCTGGGGGTATTAACACCTGAATGGGTATGCATGCCGTGTCGGCACAAGTATGACCCATCTAGCTGGGCATATTATCCCCTGAATGGGTATGCATGCCGTGTCGGCACAAGTATGACCCATCTAGCTGGGCATATTATCCCCTGAATGGGTATACATGCCGTGTCGGCACAAGTATGACCCATCTAGCTGGGCGTATTATCCCCTGAATGGGTATGCATGCCGTGTCGGCACAAGTATGACCCATCTAGCTGGGCGTATTATCCCCTGAATGGGTATGCATGCCGTGTCGGCACAAGTATGACCCATCTAGCTGGGCATATTATCCCCTGAATGGGTATGCATGCCGTGTCGGCACAAGTATGACCCATCTAGCTGGGCATATTATCCCCTGAATGGGTATGCATGCCGTGTCGGCACAAGTATGACCCATCTAGCTGGGCGTATTAGCTTCGATTAGCAGTCTTTATTGTATAGTCTATAATTCAATTATATGTAAAAAAAGACAGTGGTCAGTGAGTAAAATATTGACATACAATGGATGATTACAAGGGTCATTAGTTCCAAAATTGTCAAAGTTCTTTTTTTAAATCTATATCTTAAAATCAAAGCATAGTACAACGAAAATAAACAAAATATTTTTTTATGTGCGTTATACTTAATATTTAAACAAGAAATGTCAACTTTAAGCTAATAAAAACGTGAGAATTATTTTTTTGAAAAGTTGTAGTTTCTTTAAAAATTGATACATAAATGTTTCTTATATTGTTCCAATGTTAAAATTTCATAAATAATTGCAAGAGATATGACAGAAAATCCTCAAAAAATGTCAAGTGAAAATCTGCAAGGATCACGTTTTTACTGAGAGTATGTTAACATGGATTCTCAGCTTTAGATCAGTTGGTATTTTTAACGCAAGAGTACACGTTAAAAGTACGTTTTTATTTTTAAAAAAAATCTACATAAATGTAGATAGTTCCCCAAAAAGCCAAATTTGAATTGTAAATGTTTTGCGGATTTTTTTGGTCATACTCTTTCGATCAATTATTGATAAATTTTCATTATATTATATAAACATTTTCCATCAAATTTTAAAGAAATTTAATTTTTCAAAAAATCGGGTTACGGTTATTTTTGATTCAATGTTTCAAACATATTCTTAAAATGTTTAGTCATATATTAATTTTTACCAAAACCTGAAGCAAATAGCACTTTTCAAATTTTTGTACTCACCCTTCATAGTTAACAATAAGTTGTAATACCCAAATTCAACTCCCATCCATTTTTTGAGAAATACTGACCTCTGATTTCATACAACAAATTTATTTGGATACCCTCCACATTTTAGCCTACACAACATAAACAACATCAAAATATAACTGGTTAGAAACATTTGATCTGATTAATAACTAGATAGGTTTAAATATTAATTTTTTAATTTCTGATAACATTTTAACACTAACAGAGATCAACTCGTATACTTAGTTTTAATTATAAAAAAATATAAAAGAAAGCTGGTAAATCAAGTTACTGTTTGACTGACTAGAATTTGACATGTTTATCGTGCTCCAAGTATATATATCGTCTATTGCCTTCAGCATAATGATTATCTATTACATTATTGCGAAAAGTATAAAATGTTAATAAGAGCAACAATACAAACAACAGTTTTCAAAATGCATTTTTATGCTTTACTTAGGTAAAAAACAATATTTATGAACAATTGTTTAACAATGATTATTAACTACATACTGCAATAAAACTGACGACTTTTCATGCCAACAATGGAAAAAATGTAAAAATACTTGCTCTGTTATTAAAATTATAATATCTATTGTTTGTTAGTACACTACAGGACCTTTAGAACAGAATACTGGTTTATCATTATAAGCTTGTGTACTGTACTGTACTGTACTGTACTGTACTGTACTGTATTTATCCACTATCCTAATCAAGGGTTCAGAATTATAGTAGAAACTGTGCAGTGTGCATACCATCACACATTGTACTATTAACAGAATACACAGAAGTACAAATCTACGAAGAGGGAGAGTGTTTAGCATCTGTTTGATTTGATTAGACGGATCCAGATCCGTCCTCTACAATTGTCCAATATTTAGTTTTTTTTATTCTTTTCTGATGTTTGATTATTAATTAATCAATGACCTCCAGATATCTGTGATATATATATCTTGATAACGAACAGTTTCTCCTGGAACTGGATCCAAGGATTAAATGATGCGGATCCAATGGATTCCTCAGCACTGATTAAAGGTACAGTACAAGAAGATGGATTGTAGAATCCTTAATGAACACATAAATACGTGTTTAATTGACACAAAATATCGGAATAAATGCAATTTGTTTAACAATTTACTCACGCCGCGGTACACAATGCAGTATAGTGTACTCTGCACTGAGTAGAACGGTTAGTACATATAAAGTACAGTGCGGTAGATTGTACTAGTTGTTTACTTCAATAGCTCTATCACAGCCCAGGCTGAAAATAAATATAGATTAACTATTGTACTGCGGGGTGATTATCGGCTTCATTTTGCTAATTTTTCATCAATTCTTTAAATTCTTTTTATAACATTTTGGCCATATAGAATTTACAAACTGATGATATCAAATCTAGTTTGTACCAGTTTTCCTAACTTAACTTTAAGGGTTAGCTACAAACCTGGTTGTTGGCTGGGAGCAGAGAATCCAACCAATCCGCCACATCCATATCCACATCCATATTATCATCCGCCATTCCTCCGCCTCCCATCTTATCCCCTCTCAACTGCTCCGCCCAGCCTAGTTCAGGCAGATGTCCTAGATCGAAGGATAGATCTCCAAAATCTAGTTGAGGCAGATCGATCGGTGGGTTTTTATATGCCGGGGGAGGGGTTCGCTGTCTCAATGGTGGAGGGGAGCCTTGCATTGGTTGGATGGTGTTGCGAGCAGGAGGAGGAGGAGGGGGAGGAGGTGCAGTGCTCGGACCATCACCATAACCTGAACAAAAATAAATAGAAATTTAACTTAAAATGACTATAAGCGTAATTTACCCTCCATTAACAACGGTACGCTTAAAAATTTTGGCTCATCAAAGAATGAATTAGATATCAATGTTTATAAGTTTGGAAATTGTTTATTTTCAATCGTGAATTCGCTACTAAAGTGACTTGCGCATTTCTACTGTAGGAAAAGGAAAACATATGGGACTTATCAGAATTAAACACTTTTAAAGCTAGAAAAACTACAACATTTTCTACATTAATGATCAGATTTGAAGGATTCATGACGACCGTTGTGAATCGGAAATTCTTATCTTTCCAATCGCAGGTCTACAAACGTGACAATACAAACAAAGAAAGAACATTGACCAGAGCTGGGAACTTTTGAATGGTGGATATCGAGATCAATGCTTGATTCTCTTTTTCTAAATCTCGAGACTAACCTAATCTTGTACTTGTGTCCTGAAAAGTGTAAAAATTTCAACCAATCAGAGTCGCGTATCAGAAGCCGGGAAATTTGAAATATAGCGCGCCATTTGAGATTAATATACAGAAAAAATCGGTTTTTGATTTTTCTGTAATATATTCAAAAAAGTGGATGACGCAAGAAATTAAAAGTGTTCACATTGGATATTCGGATTAAGCAATCGGGATAAAAAGTATCCCATTCTGAAGTTCCCAGCTCTGAAAGAATATACAGAATAAAACGATGTTTTCCTTAATGTTACCAGGATAAAAGTTTACAGGGTACTCTTATCGCTTATGAAGGACATAAACTTCTGAGATGAAGGGTTACTTGTAGTGACGTCAATAGAAATAAAACTAGCTTATTTTTTCCTTTTTAAATAAAAAATGTGTCTCATGTTCTATGAGTGTAACTGTATATTATGTTGGCATATCTCCAGTCTAGAAGGTGTATACTAGAAAGCTCAAGCATAAATGCAGAAATAACCTTGACATAGGAAATGTCTACACCGTCAAAACAAATCCTTATTAATCCTAGTAATAGTGGTGAAATTAGAAACTACACAAGGTTTCTTTCAACAATTTGATTCCACTAGAACTCCTAAAACCATTCACTGAATCAAACAACTGAAGTTGAATCCCTACGGAAACTGAAAGTACTCGAATACAATTGAGGATTAAATATTAAGCTTCTATGTTCATTTTTGAATGAAATAAACATGTTCAAATCCTTTAAGAGATGGACACTGTAATTTAACGTGACACTTCGCACTACATTACATCCCAGATTACATTGGAATCTTTAAAACCATGTTCCGAGGAAACGTTATGAAGATATTCTGTGTTCTATCAGTTTCAATTGTAAAAGTCATTTGAGGATCTCTGCTGAAGAATAAGGAATTAAATAGAGAGAAAATTTAACTAGTTTCAAATACATAAAAGCGAAATATTCTAAAGTTTAATCAGATAAAGATTTAAAAGATATTGTTTCTGAATCAGGGATACAACTCTTTAATTTAGGTTTAATTAAATAATTTTAATATATACAAAATATATATCAGATTACGTCTAATCCAATAATGCTTTTACACTTTAACGTGCG